AGTTCGGTTCGGTTTGACAGAAACTGCTTTTCAGTCCGGTTCGGTTCGTGTCGGTTCCAATGAAGCTGGTACCTTTCCGATTCGGTTCGCGGCTCGCGGTTCGGTTCCTAGGGCTTACTGAGATAAGAGGAGGTAAGTCCAGTTCTATTCATGGTGCGATTGGTAGTGGAGTTATCCAGGTGCCACTACCAGCAGGAAAACCAAAGGCTTCTGTGAAAGGTGGTCATGTCAAGCCACAGATTGCCTCACTGGCTGCCTTGCTCACTCCTTGAGAAGCTGAGGATGCCGTGTGCCGAGGATGTGGTGGTGTTTCACCCGGCTGTCGACATCCAAGATGCGACGGTCCCATCGAGTGCGCATGAAAGAAAAGTGCCAAAAGACATGCGTAAACAGTCGGTGAAAGATGGATGTCGGTGAAAACTCGAGGGAGACCCCTTTGGAGCCCTGATAGAAGGGAAAAATCAAGGGACAGACCATCGGCTCTGGGGTCTTCTCTTTTCGGGCAGAGGTGTGCGCATTTCTCATATTGATTCATTTGCCAAGATTTCTTGGACCAGCTCCTCTCCAGCATAAAACTGAAGTTCATAGTAAACATATGTAAGCATGAAATTGACATTGAAATTGTTTACTGTCTATTTTCATAGCTTGGATTGTGGTCCCTCTCTTATCTTCCTAAGTGGATAGAAACAGCATTAAAACAGTTGTCAATTTGGAGGGGAGTTCACGTTTCTATTTATGTGGGTCTCAGTAGAACCACTTATAATGCCAGCTGAATAGGAAAATCATGACACCAGCCCCCCAAAGGCTTCCATGACGACTTGAAGATGGTCGTGTCTTTTTCACCATGAATCGAACATGTTTTCGCTCCTGTCCACGGAGTCGAACGAGGGTTGGAATGTAGCGAACAGGGGTGCCTGTTCTTGTCTTTGGAGGCGGAGAACTCATCCAGAATTTCGAACTCACCATGAATTGCTACAAATCTTTGAATCATCGACATCGACATCATCATCGTCGTCGTCGTCTTCATCATCGTCATCGCAATCATCAGCATCATCATGACCAGCCTTTGTATGCAATCCGCCGAACGTTGGACACCGACATTTGCGCGTGAGTTCCGCAGCCGCAGCCGTAGTGATGCGGCGGGTTGACCTTGCTCTCCACACGTGTGGGCGAGGCGGAAGGTCTGATGGGAGGGGAGGTGAAGAAGGGTGAAGAGGGTCTGTTGGGTTGGAATCCCAGAAATAGATAAATTATGATAAATTATGTTTGGATTGGGAAGACATGAAAGAAAGCCAGATGGGCTAGATTGGATGGTTTCTTTCCAAACGTTTGAACAGTGAGGCAGTTCTTTGTCTTCCTTGTGGTCATTGTGCTGTGTTGTCCCTGACCCCATGCCCTGTCGCTCTAATTGCCGCACGAGCTAAATTTGCAGAGGTATGGTTGTGCATGGTTGTGCATGTGCAATTGTCCAGCCATTTAGGTTCAACCTGGTGCAACACTGATGCAGGTTGTTGCATGTCAAAAAGAAAGTTGTTCAGGACGGTACAGGCGTTCAGAGCCACGCCGATAGGGAGAATGCAAACAAGAAAGTAATATATTAACAACAGTCATTGGAGAAAGTGCATTCTGTCAAGCAGCTGCATTGAACATGCTTGGTGACTGAGCTATGCCAAAAAAACTTTCATAATCGGCTCCTGTACCACGCAAGTCGTTTTGAGCGTGGATCGGTGCAGAAGAATGTCTTGCTGCGCTACGCCCAGAGCCTCGAAAGCTCAACTCTGAGCGAGCTACAAAGGAATGCATTCCATGTTGCTGCTTGGGTTGCAGAGCTTTCAGCTGAGCAAGCGACCCTGGAATACAATGGCTTGTCGCCCCTGTTACTCTTGCAGCAGTACTTGAAGCATTTGAAGTCGCGAAAGCAAGAAGTTCAATGGTCAGATCATTTGCGACAGGTGCTCGCAAGAGTGTGGAAGCGGACCCAGGCCCAAGCTAATTCTGGTGAGTTGCAATGGCGAGGTGTATTGCACGATCTCCAGTTCCTTCTCCCAGAGGCTAAGGCTACAAAGGCAGCCACTTTGATGAATAAGGCCATAAATCTTTGGAGAAACACAACAATTGAGGCAGAGCAAGAGGAATACGTTGCTTCCTTGGAACAATCACTCTCTACAGCGGACCCCGATCACAAGTGTCAGATTCGTTCCATCTTCCGGCGCACTGTTGCAGCACTGTCTCCACCCCATCACATCAGTGAAAGGGGCGGTTCTAGCACAACAGATGTTTTCCCACAGCCCAAAGGGCGTAAGGGAGATCTGCAATTTCGGCTTCGGAAGATTGCTTTGATTTGTTTGGATCACTTGGACTTGACTGATTCCAGGCTTCACCCAGCATTGGAAGTTCTCAGGTCCCTCCTTGACAGGTTTCAGGAAGATGTCAAAGACCATCAGATTGGTTGCAAGCAGCAGTGGCGTTTGTTACAGGTGAAGTGTGGTCAAGCGACATCGGAGAGCAACTCCTTGGTCTCATTGAAGAAGCACAGCCAAAAGCGATCCTGGTGTGAGCACAACAAGAGACGAGACGATTGCCGAATTTGTAGCGGTTGTTTACATGGCAGGATGAACGGGCGATGTCGAATTTGCAATCCCTGTCCGCATGGCAAGATTAAGCGGAATTGTGCGGAGTGCGCTGGCTGCGAACACGGGCTAGCCAAGCGCACTTGCCGTCAGTGCAATTCGTGCATTCATGGCCGACGCAAATACAAGTGCACAATATGCAAAGATGAAAGAAGCAAAAAGAGTGTCTCTATAGTGTGGTGGATTTCGATGCACACTGGTGCAGAATCGGCCTGGCCACGGGGGAGCATAGGAGGGGTGGAGGCACCTTGTCTGAAACATTCCTCGGACGAAGCAACGCTTGACTAGTGAAGGATGTCCTTGAGTTGCTACTGAATACTGAAGCAAGAATGTTTGGAGTCCAGTGCCCCAGTATTTGTGGCTAAGACCTCTCATCATCTGTAGCACTTCTTGATTGAGTAAGCAAAGATGGACCTCCAGCATTTCGACCAAAACTCATTTAACCTCAACAACCGAAGGAGCATGAGATATCATGAGTGGGGTGAGATATCATGGTGGCCATCTCCTGCCATGGCACTTGATCTGAATCCCTTTGGACATGTTTGGACCACTTCGGCAACCACAACTTCAGAAATCGCATGCTCAAACCAAAAGCAAACTTGAGAGATAGGCCTTGTTGAGGCTGTTGCATCGACCAGACGGGCGCCTGCCATCGACGGAGACTGGAGCGCCATCGACGGGAACCTCCGAGGAACCTCCCATCCGTCGTTCGGGAAGCGCTTCCACCACACCCTCCCCATGTCTCCATGGAGCCATGGAGCCATGGATTCCGAACAGAGAGCTCCAATGCTTCATCTTTGTTCCGTTCGGGTCCGTCCGATCGTTCCGTTCGTAGCGATGCCCTTTGTTCCGCTTGGATTTGGTTCCAGAGCCCTTACTTCATGTTTCCTCAACACGAGGGGATGCCCCGGCGTTGCTTCACACACGGAAACGGCAAACAGCACGAGGCCGACTCGGGGTTTGTTCATCTAGAACGAATTCGTCTCACGGGTCGTCAGGTCTTCAGGTGCTCGATGTCCTCGTGTTGCACGGCCATATCCAATTGCGATGGCTTCGTACGATCCTCCCACCGCCATTGCCGGTGTGTTGTGTTGTCACCTGGGCGGTGGCGGTGGTCGGTACCAGGAAGTGGATGAATGAGCGAAGACACCTGGGGAGCGAGATTTGCTCGAAAGATCTCGAAATAGGTGTAGCTTGTTGGTGTTTTTTCGCGGCAAGCGTCCAATAAAAGATGGCTGGATTCTTGTAGTTTCCCACCAATGGGTAGAAAACAACATCCCCTTTTCAACTATGTGTTGATGTCTTGCCCCCCACGTGTGTTATATTGTTTTATGGGGACATTGGAGCAGCATGCACGATGCTGTGGGTCCAACGTGCTGGGATTTCGTGCACGTTTCGCTGCTTCAGCTCCAGCTCCGCCCCGGCCAACACCCGTGGCCAGGACCCCGTTCGAACCGGGCCATACTGAGCTATACTTGATACTTGGGATGTACCAAAGACCCTGGGCCACTTCAAGTGGCATGTCATCCATGTCCGACGCAAGACCTGTGGAACTCCCACAACAATGTCCAAGCACTCCAGGCAGAGTAGCGGCCATGGTTCGGTGCTGTGTTTGTTCAACATGTCCCTACTGATATAGTAGCATCATCCAACATTCTAGTCTTCAGTAGTGATGGAGTACACAGCACCACAGCACACAAGAAAAGGACCAGACGTCCAACATTGTCGGGCAAATCTGTTATCCTATGATACATCCAGCTCATGCCATCCAATCAATGAGGTTTTGTGACCTGTAGGCAGCAGTGGCCCAAGCATTGGAGCATCCAAATAGAGTGCACTCAGAGCTGGACGAGAACATGTGTTTTGCACACCTTGATGCTATCGGAAGATCTGGAGATGGTTGGCGCATGTTGGCGCCCATTCTTTGCGTTTGCCCGGTTCTTTTGAGATGTTCACTCAGCCATGTTGAAGGAATAGACACGAAATGAAACATAGAAGATCGATTTCGGGACTCAGAAGCTGTGAGTGAGACCGCACATATTCCTTCACAGGTGTCAGATGAGTTCCCCTTAGGTTCGGTGCCCAGTGTGTCCAAGTGGTCTTGGTTTGGGTCCTTTGATTTGTGACCTGGAAACCATGATTGTTCAAATATGTGTTTCCATATTTTTCCCCTGAAGCCATAAAGCCAGATAACTACCTGATCTCAAGGGATTTTCAATCTGGGCAGATAATACCTGATCTGGATTTATTTGGTATAATAGTTTGTTCTTGTTTTGGATATGACTATGATTTCTCCAGATCTCAAGAGTTTGTCCATCATCGTTCTCACCAAAACTGGAAGGTCATCGTCAGTCTGCCTAGTGAGTTGCCATGGACCGGCATTTGATTGATTTACGCGAAGAGCGACTTGATTTGCTGCGCCACGTATATGCAGCTTGGTGGCACATGGCTACTAGTAACTACTAGGTGGAGGCCATCGCTACGAACGTAACAAGAAGCTACGAACGTAGCTACTAAGTAGCCTTACGCATAAGACCTTGTCTGGAGACCTCTCACGGTACACCACTTTCACCGCCATGCAGTGGACATCACGGTACATGGGTGGAGAGTCCGAGTGGGGTCTCTGGATTTGCACCCACAAGCCAAGCATTTGTCCAGTGACTGCTGTCGTTTGTCCAGTCGTTTGTCCTTTCTGTGAATGAAGAGTACTAGTTTCTACTGGCAGTTGAGCATACCTAGAAAATCCTCGTACACCTGCTTGCCACAGGCTTCGCTCTTCTTGTTTACACAGGGTGGCACCCTTTTCTTCTGGTTTCTCTCTCAAACTAATCTTTTGAGGCCTCAAATCGGCTTCGGCAGCTTGTTTTTTGTCTATAAGCTAGGCTGCCAAAAAGGCTCTTGGTCCTTGCCTTGGCAGCCCATCCATACGTAGGTCATCCGAGTAATCAGAGGAGTCCCGCAAGCTGCGCATCTCGTCTTCACCGTGTTTCGCTCTACCCAGCTCCAATCGTTGGATTCCATCGGCGGGTCTACGAGACAATGCCCACCCCACCCGGCAACGCGGCGGAGACGACTGCTGCGTAGGTCATTTGGTATTGGATCATCAGATCATGGGGGCAACACATTCCGAAATCAAGAAGTTTGAAGCTACTTACGGTATGGCCTCCATCATCCTACATCCATTTAGATTGGTCAATAGAGCTTTCGCACGGCTTTCCCCCATCTGATTGTGCCCAAGAAACCGCGCTGTCAGCCTCATCGGGGGTCATATTCCTGAACTGACCTGCTTTTGGTGAGACATTCTGTGTTGGTGTCCAAGTTCTAGTCAAATTACTCCAAGCTGTCTCCGGGTGCATCTTTTAGATCTTTTAGTCGGGAGATCCCCAACCAATGGGTTTTGCGGCTTTGCTTCTTGTCTCGTTTCGATCTGTTTGGACCTCCCCACCCAACCAATTGGTGTTGATCTATTTCCATTCTTCCACACATTCTTTGGGATGAGGTCTCCTATTTTAATACACATCCATCTCCACCCCATCTCTATACTTCTTCGACTTAACTTTGGTGCACGAGTCCCTGTTCACGAGTCGTTGATATAGACGGATTCAGGATGGCTTGCTTCAAGTGCACTTTCCAGTGCCGGGTGAATTGGATGCGTCTCGGCGTTTTTCGGTGTTCACATGTGGGTGAGCTCACGAAAGGATTCGGGTGTTGGAGTCGAGAGGCAGTTGTAGTTCCAGGTCGAGGCTATGTTTTTTTGTTTAACGGACGCCACCCAGTTTTTTAGGGGGTCGAAGTCGATTAGCGTGAATCGAAGGAACATGGAGCTGGGGCAGGATCAATGTTGCTCTTGCAAACTAAATGCCTCCCACGTTTTTTCTCAATGTTAGAGAAACTTTAGGGGATGATATGTTTGCTTGGTTGAAAGTCGTTCTTGGTGCTTCTCACCAGAATCGATCTCTTTTCAGTCCGGGATGGCAAGTTGCCACCTAGGGAATGTGAGTACATGGGACAGGTTTGCGCTGACCGCAATCCTATAGTGGTGCATTGGTCTTTGCGCCTAGCTGCTGCATGCCAAGGATTTTGAGACCATGATCTCCCAGCTGCAACAGCCTGTGGATGGATTGAACCCTGCCGCTTGACAAAGTGACAGCCTCTCTATATACATGGACGTGGGATGATTTATGTTGAAGTAGGGAGAATCCCCAAAAGACTTCCCAGAAAGAGGAAAAAGCAAAGCTGCTTGGTTGGGGGGGGTCTCCCTTTTCAAAAGCCCAGCCAGCTGTCCCAACAATCACAACACCACCGCGCATCCCTCCCGGAAGAGAAGAGGAGCGTCCGTCCAGTGAATGTCACACATGGGGCACCTAGCCTTGGTGGTGAACAGATATCACACAATGGATCTCCAGCAAAGATCAGCAAAATCCCCATGTTTGGTTGGGAAAAAACACGAGTTTGGAGGCTTGCAGGGCTTGGTGGATTGAAGGGCTGGAGGTTGGCGGCTTTTGAACCCGTAGCCTGTCACCCAGTCTAGAGCCCTTCATTAATGCATGCAGTCGAGGTTTCTTGAAAGATCGGGTACACACCCTGTGCATGGTTGTCGGAACTCCAAAGAAGCGACTCCAACTTCCAGGCATCTTTGGGGCTCTCATCCATTGGGTCAACGACGATCGGCGCTCGCAGAAGCGGACGATTGCGAGGAGCTCCACGTGCTGGTGCTGATGACTGGGGATGAGCCCATGGGCTGCGCCTGCTATGAGTGAGCCGACACCCGGAACCCGACACCATCCGCAGTTCCAGCCGGGCTGGGGAGGCTATAGGGCAGGTTACTGTAATCCGATACCGAAACGGGGTGGTTCAGGCCTCAAAAACTCTTCCCATTGGAGAACGGCCCGGGATTTTTGGGAAGTATGAACCTTGTTCTTGCGGTTCTTGGGTATAGCTCAGAAGGCCCTAAGAACCTAAAGGCGATGTTGGAGGGGCGCTTCATGTTCGGTTCATGTTCTATGTTTCGGGTCGGTTTAGAGAATTTGAATCTCCGAAGTCCCAGATGGTTTGTTGGTGACGCTTGTTCATTCAAGTTTCCGGTTCAATTCATGTGGATGTTGATGGAGAAGCGGATGGGACTAAATTGACTAAATCTGCAGGTGTATTGGCGGTTCAACCGCAGAGCTATACGGAGAATTACGGAGAGATCCTTGCCTATCATAGGAAAAGTCCTGGGTATCAACGAACTTAGCCGTCGGCAGCAAGGGGGATCTGAACATGTAACATGTTGCGTGGCTCCAAGGGGTGAGGCCTGAGAGCCTGACTTCAGGTACTATCCCAGAGGTAACCACTGCCTCATCAGCTCTTCAACTGCAAGGATGAGACGGATTCCCCAGAGTCTGACCAACTGGGCCTGATCTTTTTTGACGTGGGACGTACATCGAGGTGTTCGCAGATGTGTTTTTTTTCCTGCGAATCTCGCGGCCGAAGTCGACGATGTATCTTCATGTCTCTTCCAAATCCAAGGTTTTGGGCTGCTTGCTCGGCCAAAAGCATCATCCTTACCGTAGCTAACAACATCAATTAGATTATCATTTTAGCGAGACAGACTCTAGATTCTAGATGGAGACGGTACTGAAATCTTATGAAGTGATTGAAATGCACACACGAAAAAAGGAAGATCCTCCTTCCTGCTTCCAGGGCGCGGTTTGTACATCTGAATCGTTCCCACCAGCTTTCTTCACGATCTTTGTTCCAAGTGACCTCAATACCAATCCGCATTAAGTGTGGTCACTTAGTTTCAGAAGCTAGTCGTCACGAGAATCAAACGCCGTCAGTGAACTCACGGTTTCAGCAAAGGGGGAGGCGCACTCCCGAGAACGCAGCATTTCCCCCTTAGGTTAGGTCCAAATCCATCCAGGGTCACCGTTCAAATTGAACGAGGTAGAACTACCGAGGCCAGGGGCAACTCTTCATGCTAATTCCGAGATGCGATATATTTTATGATTTATTGAAGAACATTCACTTGGCAACTCGTCACGTGTCCACTTCCATGTTCCTTGCAAGTGTATTTTTAGGCGCTCTATTTGGACGTGGTCTTTTCTTAGCTTGTTTGGACCATCCAGAGTTTCGCAGCTTTCACCAGGGGGGCTTTCGCTTTGCGAGCTTTGGCGACCAACCCGAGGCTACATTTGCGTGGCTGAAGCATTTCGGCGCCAGGGCGTGTCAAAGGCAGGATCTGGACTGAAAATATGTTGAAATCATGTAATTCTCTCTGATGGGCCATACATGCAAGGCACGCCGTGCTGCACACCTATGCATGCCAATTTGCATGCCTATGCATCCCTATGCATGCTGCACGTGCGTGCATGCGACATGCATTCAAGATCAAATCATGTGCACTGCACAGTCATTTTCGCTTGTACAGGGTCTATTGATATTTGTACGTGGAGTTTTACTTTGATGCCCTACGTTCCTTCCATAAGTTCTGTGGCAGCATCTGGATGCCCGTGGCTTCTGAATAGAAGTCTTGAGCCCAAACTTTTGATTGACCATTCATGTACCAACGGTATGGCTTGTAAAAGATCAAACAATTTGGATATGGATAGTAATCCAGGAGTAGAATATGAACAAATCCAAGAACATGACCAGTTTCCTATGGGTTTTTGAATGTCCCATATTCTTTCGGATGTCCAGGATGACTAAACAACAAAACATCAAGAACTGTCGCCATGTGGACTCCAGGGTTCGCATGTCTCGTCAGCAAACATGGTTTAACATGTTTTTCGGCGCCACATCAAAACAGTCGGCCACAGTTGGTTCGTTCAACCAGTCGAGATCATCTTTCCACCGAAGCGAAGAATCGGGTGGAAGCTTCTGTTCGATCACTGTTCGACGAGTTGAGCCGTTCCGTGGGGATGATTCGTCGCCCTTCCATTGTTTGGGCTTAGTGAAATTCGCACCAATAGAGGCAGAGAGTGATGTTGTTTTCTTGTTTATATCGAATATGTTTGAGCGAAAGATGTCAATGACTACAGAAACGCGCGAAATGCGCGTCCTACACTGTCCTACCATGTCCTACCCTCCTAAAGCCATCAACATGTTCTACCCATTCCAAGGGAAGGTAGGTCTTCCACCTCCTCTTCCGCCTCCTCCATCGACCTTCTTCCGCCATTGGCAGGTCTTGATGGAGCGGATCCAGGCGCAGTTGGCGCAACGTGCGGAAAAGCCGCTGGCAACATAGCGGCACGTTGGTGATGCCACCTTGTGAAAGCTACATTGAGGCCAGCTGGGTTTGCTTGAATGTAGGTAATTAGTGTGCCACAAAACCAAGGGTGTTGTTTATATGTATGTGGCACACTAATTACGAAGGGCCTTGTTTATAAGGGTGTTGAAACGAAGGGTGTTGTTTATATTGGAAGGCTGCTTTGTTCCAATCTGATTGTCCGGTGTCGACACCACGCCCGATGCCGGAGTCACGGAATCTCGGCTGCCGTGCATCGGCGCAAGCTTCGGGGAATTCAATCTTTCACTTATTCGTTACTGCTGGTGATTCAGTTCCCCACACCAGCAGTTTCCTGAACCCGGTTTCTCTTGTGGGTTCTTGTTTCACTGCTGATTCGTCGGAAGAAAAGATCCGAAGTCATGAGGTTGCAGTTCATTCATATATTCACCGCCTAGATATGTTTGTAATACCAAATGATTCTCAATTTATCAACATCACCCCCAACAAACATTGAGAACCCCCCCAAAAAGAAATCTCAAAAGACACTCGATGGTGAAGAGGCACCATCTCAACGACTCAACTCCACGAATTCCAAACCTATGGTCCACTGTGTGGACCACGTGTCTCACCGGGTGTGCACCGGTGTCTCACCGGGACCTACACGGCCGTACCGTACGTCGGGCGAAAGCGGCGAAAGCGGCGAAACCTGAGGCGGCCATCTTTGCGGAGACGCACAGCGCGGATGCTTGGAGTCGAAGGACGTTCGTAGCAAGGACGTTCGTAGTAACAAAGGGCATCGCCATTAGGAAACAGGTGCATTGCTACTATGCTACTACAGGAAGCAAGGACGTTACTATAGTAGCTAAGGGCATTTCTACGAACGGAGCAAGGTTCGCTACGAACGTAGCAGCGGACGCAACCGGGACGGATCGGGACGCTGACGCTGTCGCTGTCGCTACGGACGACGCTGACGCGAAATCGCACGGAAGTCGGGAATGATACGAGTCATTCGAAGAGGAAATCAATGAGAAGCCGAGAGTTGCGGGTTTGGCAGAGCACCCAAACTGAGGATGTCATGGTAATCTCCATCTACTTGAACAAGTGAACAGTTCTTCTCCAAAAAGGGGTGTATAATATTGGTGATGTTCACGATTTCATTGATCCACCAGAGTCAGAAACACGAACCTCCAGAGTCGTCTTTTTGAAGCTCCGCCGATGTTTGAGGATGTCATTGATGGCATCATGGACCCCCTGGAGAGGCAAGAAGTCCTTGCTGCTTTGGGGTTCCGATGCTTCTTGGCCTGGCATTTGGGGGCATTTGGGGGCATTTGGGTTGGTCATCGTCAATACATAATTCATGATATTCACTCAGACTCAGACCTATAGATTTATACAATATATAAGATACAATATAGATAGCGCAAAAAGAATCTGGTATGGATTGGACAATGTCATCGTGAACTGCGGGACTTTGGGACTTGTCCCCCTCGAATGTCATGTGTTTGACTCGCGGTGTAGATGTTTGCAGAAATTGTCGCGATGGACGCAGAAACGGCCCGGCCCGTTGAGCTCCTGAAGTCTTTGCTCATCACTCAGATGAAATTGAAGATGATTGAACAGTACGATACACGTCAATACACAGTATATAACCAATGAAGATGGTTCTGTCCTATTATCTGTATTATCACCATTTTTGAAGAAGGCCTTTACTAACCATCATCATCCATTGTTACTGGTAATTAATAGGATAGACCCAAATTACTTAGATGTAAATAGGGTTTGAAACAGGTATTTTCAATGTTGATGCCATGCCGAATTGGTCAGCCATGCCCACTTTGGATCAGACCATGCCCATCTACCACTCACAAGTGCGGGCCTTCTTCGGAACACCGACCTAAGGGTGCCAAGGCGTGGGTGTGATGCACATCACATCCTGACATGATTCAAAGTAAACGACAAAAACTCAGAACTTGGGCCACTTTGTGAGGGGCCACTAACATCCACTAACCATACTGGGGATTCTGGAGTCTCATATATTCAACAACCATCAACAGCCTTCGGCAACAGTCATCGTCATGGGGAGTAATTTCTACCGTGTGAATCAACACGGCATTAATCGTGTGCAAAGGAAACACGGTTTTGCAGCGGGTCAAAGCAGCTCTTTGACCAGCGTGCATCTGAGGCTTAGACTTTGACTATACCCAACCGCCACTTAGCTGCTTGCATGCAAGAACGCTAGGATATGATGGTCACGAGTACAATGCAGGTCCTGAACCAGGTTCATGAGCTTTCCAAAGAAAAACATACAAGACGTTCCGTCCGGAATCCAGGGAAGAGTTGGACTCTATGGCGAGCTCTTTGACCTGGCAATCGGAGCGATGACCTTTGTTGTCCAAGATTTGAACACGTCCAATCGGTTGGTTGTCGGCTCATCCCCCGGCTGAGGCAAGCCTTCTAAGAAATGTACAACACTGACTCGCAGGTACTCACAGAACCCCTTGGGCCGTGGGAAAGGCATGGTCTTTGTTGAAACTCCTCCTTTTTGAGGCGAACAAAACACATGTGTCCATTGCTAGATAAACTATGTGGGAGTTTGCTTAGGGTGACTTCTTGTTTCTTTTTTCCGTATGAGTGAATTCCCTTCTGAGGAAGGTGTTTACTTGTTTCCGATTCCTGGACGGCAAATCAAACGAATGGTGTAATAGAAACAGGTTGGAAAAACATATGAACAAATACTGTAACAGGTTGGAAACACACACCTGATGAACGATCGAGGCAGTTGGTGCCCAACGACTGAATCGAAGCGGATAGAAGGTTGAACCGAATGAACCACCTGTCACCCGGCTACCGAAGAAATTGCCCGAACGAAAAGCGCCGAACGGAAGGTTTCTGCTTGAATGAAGTACAGTTTCAATGGAAAGTCATGGAACATCTCATCAACTGTCACTTGGATTCCAGTTGGACTTTTCTTGCACTTTCCGTGGAATCGCGTTGCAACACCTTCTCAAGTGGACGAGGTGAGGCTTCGCTTCTCACCGTGGGCCGATGGCATCGTCGTCCGAGGTGAGCGCCACGAGCCTTGTGGAGGTGAAGATTCACCATTGGGATCGGTGGGTAGGACATGCATGGCAGTCGAGGCGTTCGCATGAGGCAGCATTGGCATCAGTGCCAACAGCGTTAGAACCAAAAGAAGATGACCAACAGCGGTCCTCACATACAGACTCTAGACAATCATACAGAGTTATATATAATATACATTTGGTCATTAGATGTCATTGGCATTCAATTGTCTTGTGCAGTCAAGGGAAGCCGACTCATCCAAGCTCTTGATGGGCTTAAAACTCTACAGAGTAAGAAAAGTAAGAATAAACAATAGTGACAACTTATAGTAGTTTCTGCACAAAGACAATGTTTCCAAGGGCCGCTCAGTTGTTTTTTTTCTCCAAAAGTGTCTTGGAGCGGACGATACCGTTTCCACGTACCACTTCGTTATTTTTCAGGAGATAAGTTATTTTCCAGTTCCTAACATAGCACACGTATCACTGGGTCAGAGGCAGCTCATCCAAACGCTTTTGTAGATTCCTATGTCAGGAACTTGGGATGTTTGGGGGAGGCTACTGTGTTCTCAGAATCACTGATGTTCAACTCGTGTTCCGCTCTTCAGGTTTGCGGCTGCTGGTGAAGGACCAAGATGCGCTGCCCAGGGAAGCCGTTGTCCCGCAGCCCAGTCGCGCCCGTGGAGTGGTGGATGGTAGATGTGCAGCGAACGGAGACTCCAGTTTGGTCTCTCCCCAAACAAATGCCCATACAAAAAGCTTAAACAGGATGTATGTAAAGATACTGGAAAAAAAATCAATCATTTATATTGACAAAGCTTCGAAGCTTTGAGGGCACTTTGGAAATTATGTTCCTTTATTCAAGCACGTTGGGGGGCTGTTGAGTGAATTCACAAAGACATGATTTACCCGGGTGTTTCACTTCTGTTTTTTCGCGAAACGGACCGCATGGTGTCGTTCCACTAGTAATTACATTGGGTGTGATCATGTTCGATCATGTTGATATGGTATGATATGATTTATTTGGTTTTAGTGACATCAAAACGAACAAACATGTATTCTGTGATACGCATCGCATGGTTTCATGATGTTTTATGATATTATCTTGGCAATGTCTGGTGTATCTCATTTGAGTTTTCGCTCACTGCGCAGCGTCGACTGCTTGTTTGCCGATATACACCCTGTCGTGTTCACCGAACATGGTGGATGACAACAAGGGGAACTGGGTCCACAAAGAGTCGTCGTCTCGGTGCTGAGTCTCGCCGATGGCGTGCGTCTTCTTTCTTCCGGGTTTTTCGGTGTACCATTTTCATCGTGGACTCGGACATAGTAAGGCCAGTGTGTTCCTCGGTTTTGACAAAACAAAACAAAACGCAGTCAGGCTCAATAAGAGCACTGCGTGGAGGAGATGCCCAGGCATTTTGACGTCAATTGAAGATGCGGCCAGTCAATCTATTGATCATAGAAAAGAATATCGATAGGTCCTCTAAAATGATTGAAGTCCTAGTATGCCAGTGCATCTTTTGGACCTCCAATCACTAAAACTAAGTGGCTTTGACACATGGGCAAAACCTCGAGGTGGGTTACCTCGACGACTTTTCCGGCAGCGTCCTCGGCTGGGAAGAGGAGATCTTGTCATCGTGTGCTGGGTTTGGGGTGGGTGTCCTAGCTGCTAGCTGGATACTGTATCCATATATAATGACTGCATGTATATACAGAGTCCAGTAAGGACACACCAAACGGAGGGTCCGCGGTATGTTCAAACAACTCGAGTCCGCAAGCTACAGCGAAACTGGATAGCCTGGAGACCACCTTTGCAGTTTTTGTGACGTCAAGTGATCATAGTCAGCTTGAGGAGCTGGAGGAAGGCGGAGGAAGGATTGCGAAACCCCCGCACGTTGTGGACCATGGAGTCGAATAGCTTTGGGCGTGAGCTGGGATGCCCTTGGGATATCTGGGATGCCCTTGGTGCAATGTTTCGCTTCCAAGAGTTCGAGAGCCGAACTGGCATGTCTCACTGGTCCCAGGTGTTTCAAGGCCTTTCCACATCATTTGCTACGTCCAATCCTAAATCGTTCCAATGATGGCAGCATTCTTCGTCCACCTGCCGGACTTTCAGGAGTCCTGGAAAGAAGAGATCCTTGGATCGAAAGGACCACGACCACGGTGTCAACATTTCGCCGGGTTCGGGTGCGATGCGAGGTGCAAGAACTGCGATTGAAGACCATAAGGCCAGGGAACAGTTTCTATCATAGACCATTTTGGTGGATTTGACCATGAACATCTTCTCCCTTCTTTCAGACACTAAATGTGTTTTGGGGAGATGCAGCTGCATGTTTACTTTTCCAGTTGGGCTAGTGGGAGTACGACTGAGACCACTGAGTACCACTGGTTTCCGGTCAAAAACCATATCACCTCACAACAGCGCACGGCGCACACCACAAATTGGAAGATGAGGACTTCTTCACCAGCCGCTCGTTGCGATACTCCGAAAAGGATTGGACCACTCTTTAGACTTCATGCTCTTGCTTGAAAGATCTTGAAAGAGGCGACGCGCGTTCGGTCCTTGCGTTCCTTTCGTTTCGTTGGCTTCGCGCGATCCTCGGGGTCCTTGAAGTGACCCGAGGCCTTGGTATCAGCGGCAGCTGTCCTCGTTGCCACCCATGGTCTTTGCGCGCAAGGAGCGCCCCTGGTGACAAGGAGATCATGTCCGCCTTCGGTCAGGTGTGGGGGAGTGGGGGTGCATCCCTCATGGTGCAGATGAAGGATGCACCATCAAGGAGTTCGCCAGTGCAGCTAGACTCGCTAGACTCAAAGGCTTTTTAACTCCTTGGCTTGTTGTTCTTTTTGCCCTGGTTTTGAAGACTTCAGAGCATATAGATGCTTTTTGGATGAAGTGTTGGACATGGCAAGTATATAGATGCTTTTTGGATGAAGTGTTGGACATGGCAGTTGGGGGGTGCCAGGGACTCAATCATGTTCTGAGAATTGTCCAAAAAGGTCGGTTGATCATGTTGTTTCTCATGCTGGCAGGTTGGTTTGTTGTGTGAAACCATGTGACACCTTGTGAAACATTGTGGAACCATAAAATTATGAAACCGTGGATTTGATTCTTAGAGGAAGTGTTTGTTTTAGATTGTTTTAGCGAGCCTCCCCTAGAGTTGGCTATTTGGGGCAGAGTATTTGCAGCCAGGCTTCGTAGTGTGGATGGCCAATTTGCAGCAGCGATGTGTTAACCAGCGACCACCCTCCTGCTTCTGACATAGCAACCACCTGAAACGAACGTCATCATCACCTTTCACAAATGCTGGCAAGTGAGTTGCTGCTTTAGTTTGAGGGTGTCTATGTTTAAAAATCATATGCATCCACATTGCTCTTAACCGAAAACCCGAGGCTCGATTTACTGTACTGTATATAGATGCCCCAAAAGGTGTTGCAAGGTCGCTGATTCTGCCTGTCATGAGGTTTCGACCCGCAAAAAAGAAAGCGTTTTGAAGGGTTTGCGTGGAAGATCTATTGGACGAATCAACAGGAGCGTGCCTGTTACTAGTCCTGTTACTCTATTCTATGAATATTCGGAGTTTTTCCAGTACCAAGACTGGCCGTCTGAACTTTGGCAGCTTCTGGGCCACAGGTGATGTTCAAAGACAGATGCAGTCGATCTTTGTTCGGATGCAAACTGGTTCCTCCAGATGAGGACCGTCCTTTTTGCCTTTGCACTCCAGGACCGTTTGGCTCTCTGGCGGCTTTCCACGCCCTCCATGGGTGGACCAAGCTAGCTCACCCGTCGCCCGTGAGTGTTTGGAGGAAAAGGGTGGCGACCTGTCTGGCCAGGAGTGGCAGAGCAGCTGTTCAGTACAGGCGTTCTTCCAAGTCAAGAGTTTGAGACTCTCATCCCTCCAACTCAAAGTCGCAAAGAACATACCCTCCCTCATAATCCCTCCAACAAACGTGGAAATGGATGGCATGGCCGCTGGCTGGAAAGACCATGAAAGACCATGAAATCAAGCAAGAAGCGCAAGAAGCTACTAGTAATAAGGGCATCGCTACTAGTAGCTTCTTGCTACTAGTAGTAAATGCCAGGAGCTACTAGTAGCTTCTTGTTCCTAGTAGCGATGCACTTGCTACTAGAGTGCGGGTCCGGGTTCTTTGCCAAGTAAAAGAGTTGAACACTGAAAACCACTCCATCGGTAACCCCGGGGTGCCTAATCCAACAAGGTCTCCAGAGACCTCCAGGCTGACTGGGAGACTCGGAAGCCCCAAAACGGCGAGCTGCAGGGTCCAGTGTTCACGAAAACCCGCGCAGGTCTGCTGCCTTGGCTGCTTGTCTTTGGTGCCGGGCTTTTTGCGGCGAGTGGTGAATGGGGTGGGGCGCCCCAGGCCAAAAGCCGCTCGAAAATCCACCCGTTGGCGGTGAGCATCGTGGGTTGGAGGTTTATGAGCCTTGACATAGGCCATGGAGGGAACGGTGTTCAGCACCTTGGTCAGGCGAAAGCCAGATTGATGTCCCTCAAAGATAGAGCTCACCGTTATATTACTATGTATATACCCTAGCCTTCAAGCGCTAAGTTTTACTTCGGCTTTGTGCTCAGATTCGAAAGGACAAGTTAAACTTGTCCTCGGCGTGAAGACGCGTGAATGGGTCATGTGTACATCATGCAACAAAAACACATGTTCATGAACATGATGTTCAATCCAATAATCAACAATTTGATCGAAATACATTTGTGATTTCATTTCTGTCGCAGCCATGCGTTTGCGTGGGAGCGTACCGTGGATCGATGAAGAAGGCCCTTGAGAAAAGTCGGGGCCCCTGGCAGTTCCAGAGTTCACTAAATTATTGGTATCATCGATGTCTGTGGATCTGATGACTTGTACCTCAGGGAAACGGGAACTACGACCCGACGGTGCCTCCTGCCTTGCTCAGAACATGTATTTTGAGTTATAGTGTTCACGTAGTTCAACCATTGCTTTCGCTTCTGCCACCCAGCTCAGACTTGAAGGGGAAATGTTGAACTCTGCATGGCACTCAATTTCCCATGTCCCAGGCCACGGGAGTTCTCACACATCAGTTTTTTTTCCGCACGGCTCGCGTTGGGGATCTTCGCAATGCCGGTGTCAAAGCCTGACGGGATGAGGATCAATCTCTTGAAGGATCCCTTCTGTGAATCATGTGTGTACGTGTTGCATGTGTACATCATTGTACATCGGTTCACTGCCAGGACTTCTACAGTGAGCTGCTCCAGGGTGACTATAGGGAAACACGATTCCTAGAATTGGGGAAGCAAGCCGGCATGTCAGAAAAAAACTTTGGATCGACAACTCTCCGCTGGCAAGGTTTCACCGGCTAGCTTCACTTAGGGTAGACTGGACTTAATGATTTCAATATGTGTTTGCCAGGTACCACTCGCGTTTTCGTTTGTGGATGTGGACGAAAACAAGGGCATGAACGAGAAAATGGTGCACCTGGCATTGGTTTTATTCAGAACCAAGTTTATCTGACCAACCTGATTGATGTGCCAGATGACCACTCCACGAAACAGCGAGTTCTTGAAGAGTTGGTTGCCTCTCTTTGCATTGAACACTCCTACAGAAAAGGAAACTAAGGCGCCACTGGTATGCATGGGCTTGGCTGTGTGAAAGCAAACGATTAACATGTAATTGAATGCAAATCAACAGGTTGCCTTGGTGGACATTGGAAGAGCTCACTTACTGGCCGAAACCAAAGACTTGGAGGGGCTTTAACTCGTTGGGTCATGTTGGGTTAACGTTCGTCTCAATATTTTTGTTGTTCAGGAGTGGGCTGAAAAGGAGGGCAACCTCCACCGGTTGTTGGCTTCAAAGGTGTTGGTTCGCTGGCACCGGACGGCACAAGCCAGGCCCGCATGTGTGTTTCAAATATGTTCAAAGCTAGTTTTCTGTGTTCAAAGCAATTTCGATTGTTTAGCTTGTTGAGGAGGAAGGGAACTCCAATGGACAAGCTCAAGACTTTGATTTCTATGATCTTCAAGGATTTGGATTGCAACACGTTGTACACAATCTCAATGTTCTTATTTAACTATCCGGCAGGATGCGGGGGTTTCAAGGCGCACGAGATCTATCCGCAAACACCTGAAAGTCGAGGCCTGTCCATGATCCATCTAGATCCAGTTGTCGATAACCACACTGTTGATTAGGGCATTCTATGGCTAGACTGAAAGCCAGGAAACTACGAAGACAACAACTGAAGACACCAACACAGCACAAAATGGTGAAACGGAGGAGGATGAGGAGAGCGATGCTGAGTTGTTGATAGAAGAAGAAGAGGAGGAAGAAGACTTTGAGGATGACAAAGAGGTCGATGAAGCTGAACAGAACGATACTCGGAAGGTCTTGCAGAATGCTGATCTGAAGAAACCTGATGAATGCCAAGACCAAGACCAAGAAAAAAAACGATACGAGGAGGCAATACTTGCTGTTCAGGCAGCAACAGATAGAACGCACGCACTAGAGGCGGAACTGGCAAGGCGAGAGATGGAAGCAAAGGAGATTAAAGCCAAAATTGAGGAAGAAACAAAGAAGAAGATACTTGAAGACATGAAGATCCACGAGAAAGAGTTCCGGCTTAAGCTTGCAGAAGAACAGAAACGCGCGAAGGAACAGGAAGAAGCAGAAGCGAGGTTGAAGGAGGCTGCAGAGGCGCAAAGGAAGGA